CAATCAAGTAAGTAAATGTTTTTAAGTATAGGCAAGAAATCTTTAATGAATCTCAAACAGCATTTATGAAAAATGCAGCAGGACAGAGAATATCTGTGTGCATCGTGTGATGTATGAGTTAAGCACGGTTTCAAGAATCTCCAGTTCTGGGACGGCGAGGCACAGTGTACGTGCATGGGTTACACAGTACATCACAGCTGTATCATGGGTTCTGGTCCAAAGCGCTGGCCAGTGTGGCCACAGGGTAACCTCCAGCACAGCTGGCACCAGCAGGGGTGCTGCTGTCTCCCCAGGTGTGCCGAGTGCAAGACCGTCTTCCACCAGAGCTGCCAGGCTGTGGTGAAGAAGGGCTGCCCCCGCTGTACCCGCCGGCGCAAGTACCAGGAACAAAACGTTTTCACCTGATGCCCATCTGCAGACCCTGCTCTGAAGGCCGGGGGTGAGTGTGGCTCAGCCATCCCAGCTGGGTTTGCCATCAGCTCAGGATACTCACCATGTCACAGCTGTGTCCCCTTGTCAGGAAGACCCTCAGAAGTGACCAGAGCACCGGCCTCCCAGAGAAAGCCCAGGAAACCCCTGTGGTGTGCCCTGGCCCTCCCACCACCCCTCTGCTGCAGGAGGCAAGGACACCACCAGATGCTCCCTGTCTCGGGGAAGACGGGCCTTTTACCTACCAGGTCCTGGCTCACCAGTGTCCCGGCGCCTTCGTTAGGACCGCTCACGCACTGTGGAATGGAGACTTGGGAGCATTTTCAATTCAACATTTCTGATTTAAAAAGTCTAGTTTTTTAAGGTGGGTTTTTCCCATCCATATTTCAATAGAAAGTATTTTTTTATTCTTGACCCTAATCGAGTCACCCAAGAAATCCAGACATTCTCACTCCCAGCGGATGCACAGGAGCCACTCAGGCCTGGCCTGGAGCAGCGGGTGGCTGGTGGCAGGCCACTGCTGGGACACGGCCTGTGGGCCAACCTGGTGCCTTTCCTTGGCCCTCACTGCCAGTGCCAAACCTCCCGTTGGCAGGGCAGGGCCAGTCCTGGTAACCCCGCTTCTCTTCTGTCTCCTCTTTACTCCCCACCCGACTGCGTCTTGCCTTCTGAGCCCATCCCTTTCTCAGCATGGGAGCCCTAGCTCTTCTCTAGCCTGGGTCCTTGTCCGCATTAGGAGAAGGAGAAATGACTGGAAACCAGCACTGTCAGCACTTTGAGCCCTCCTGGGTTTAGGGAGGGTGCCGCCTTGCCCACCCCCGATCCCCGTGCTCTCCTCGCCCCTCTACAGACAGGTGCTGCCGAAGATGCTCCAGGCCCACCTCGGTGGGCTCTTGGGGTCACACTCTGCCTGACTGACCCCTGCCAGGACACAAATAGGCAGGACCCCAGAGATGTCAGGCAGCTGGGCCCTGCACTGTGAAGTGACCTGGTCCTTTGCCCTAAGCTGTGCAGGGCATTCAGAGCAGTTGCCCTGCAGATGCAGCCTTGGCCTCACAAAGCCATGAATTCCCAAAGCATCACTGAACTTGCCCAGCCAGGACACTGGAAACAGCGATTCCTGGAGCAGGATTGCCTTTGAAGGGGCCTTGGAGCTGGGGTGGGAGCCTGGAATTGTTTGCAAAGTGATGTTCAGATCCTCCAGGTTTCAGAGAACTGTGGGTTTGCTGATCTGTCACCTTCCCCCACGTCTCCTGGACCCAGCAGGACCCAGCAGGCCCCAGCAGGCCCTTGTCTGACTGTCTTGCCTGTGCTCAGCTTGGAGTCTGAGGCCTCAGGTGGAGATCCACCTGTCACTGTCAGAGATGAACCGACGCCCACCCCTCCCTGGGGGCGATCAGCTGCTGAGTCACTCACCCAGCCTTGGAGCTGGATGCCTGTGCAGCAGAACAGAGGCAGTGGTGGCAAGCAGGTGGAGGCTGCACACAACTTCTCCCGGTCATGGCACACACCTGTGCCCAGATACCAACGCCTCCTAAGCCAGGAGCTGGGTTATGCACCCGCCATGGCCATAATGCTCCAACACAAGCCCAGCCTGATCAGAGCCCTCATTGCCCCATCCCCGAGTGGGCAGGAGCCTGACGTGCAGATTCTTCCTGAAGGTGCCCTCAGAGGCAGCAGGGATGAGGCCCTGGGGGGGCTGGTTCCCCAGAAGAGGCCAGTGCTTTCAGATGTGCTGACTCTTCCCCATCCACCTCGCAAAAGGTAGTGCCCACACTATTTTAAAAATGTTATTTTATGCAATACACTGTTCATAGTGAGTGGGGCTCTGGCCCTGAGGAGTCTTTGCAATGTGTTGAAGGAATTACTGCCGTGTGAGTTTTGAATGATTTTGCAGTAAAGACCTGATCTTTCTCATCACTGGTCTGGCTTCTGAATTCTAACACTGCCACTTCCTGGGGGAAGACCACCAGCCATGCATTACTATCTGACAGGGCACCCCACCCTCCTGTTAGTCAGTGGCACAGGGGAGGGCTTGGGAGGTCGGTGGCAAACACTTGTAGGCAGAGAGCTTGCATGCCAGGATTGGGCAGGGAGAAGAGAGTGAGAAAGCCACCTTGCCAAACCCAGCAGTTGGGGTCTCCCTGGGGTAGGATCTCAGGATCTCTGGGAGGTGGACTCACACTTGTATAACAACTCAAGCAGATCCCACGCTGGTGCCTTCTTTTCCTGTGACTTAAATGTCAAAGCACAGACCCTTGACACTGGATCATGTGAAACCTCAGGAATACAGGGGACATTTCTCAGCGGAGAAATAAAGGAGAGAGAGGGCTTGGGAAGGACTGGTTATTTAAGCAGAGCCCCCGATGCAGGGCTCATGGTTTTAGGGCTCAAAATGACTTACTTGGCTGCTGATCTTCCTCAGAAGTTCCAGGAGAAGCCCAGGGGACCCCTCCTAGGGGAGGCCCACACCACTGTCCATTGTAAGGACAGGAGCAGGAAACACTAATTCTCAGGGAAATCAGGTTGCAGTGAAATGGGGTAGAAACAGACAACATTCATGTCTGTGATTTCCTGTCCTTGAAGGCCCCTTTCAGAAGACAGGGTGGCACCCTCTGCCCATCTAGGTGCCCTAGCTTCCCCCAAGGGCCTCACCTCCCTCCAGTACAGTAGATGGTAGACCCAGAGAAGAGAAGAGAAGCGTGGGGAGGAGGCCCGGTGGAGGACCACGGCGCCACCAGGTGCGGCCCTGCCGGCGGCTCAGCCCCGCTCCATCCTCAGCAAAGCGCCTCTGTGTTTCCCCTTCTCCCTCACCTCCTTTTTTTTTTTTTTTTTTTTTTTTTTGAGACAGAGTCCTCACTCCGTTGGCCAGGCTGGAGTGCAGTGGCATGATCTCAGCTCATTGCAGCCTCTGCCTCCTGGGTTCAATCCTCCTGCCTCAGCCTCCTGAGTACCTGGGACTTCCCTTTCTTTTCTGCCTGAAGGAGGACAGGCGTTTTGGAGATACCAATCCAACCCCTAAGAGCTCATCACGTAATATAAGCAGTTATAATAGCTGATATAGCTGGGCGCAGTGGCTTACGCCTGTATCCCAGCATTTTGGGAGGTGGAGGCGGTCGGATCACCTGAGGTCAGGAGTTCAAGACCAGCCTGGCCAACATGGTGAAACCCCGTCTCTACAAAAATACAAAAATTAGTGTTGTAGTTCTTTTAGAATTTGTCTAGCAGGCTTTCCGGTTTTTGCCAGAAAGCACCCCCCACCCCAACACCCGCAAAATAATAATAATAATAATAATTTTTTAAAAACCAAAAATAAAAAATTAGCTGGGCATGATGGCTGGTACCCAGGAAGCTGAGGCAGGAGAATCACTTGAACCCAGAGGCAGAGGTCTCAGTGAGCCGAGATTGTGCCACTGCACTCTAGCCTGGCCAACAGTGACTGTTTCAAAAAAAAAAAAAAAAAAGTTGATATATTGTGTGCACTGGGGCATGTGGTAAGCACTGCTTAGTGGACCTCATTTAATCTTCCCAATAATCCAGTGAAGTGAGTGTTACTATCCCTTTTATAAGAAAGCTGAGCTGCAGAGATAAGGCAGAACCAGTCAGAACTCCTAGTGTCTACCAGCCAGCAAGCAGCAGAGTGGGGCATCATTCCTGCCTGACCCCAGGCAACAAACCATCACCACTGCCAGCCGCTGCCTGGCTGTGGTGCAGGTGGGGAGGGACCTAAAAGGTAGGGAAGGAGAGAAGATTCCTCCAGTAACTTATTTTCTAAGCATGTCGGGCACCAAAGACCAATGTTGAGTTCTGCCGTGTATCTACCCTGGAGGATCCCAAGATGCCACCAGGCCTCAGACAAACATTCTCAGAGGAAGTGTGGACTCACGGGTGGGCAACGCCTAGCAGAGGCAAAGATACAGGAGTAAGGAAGTTCCAGAAGGAGCATAGCCAGATTCAGCTTCCCAACCAAGCCTGGACCCCCAGGAGGCGGTGTCAAGAGGGGCCATGGCCTGGGGTGCAGCCCATCTTCCAGAACACTGGCCTGACTCAGACAGCCCTCAGCACACACAGCTAGGTCCACAGGCACAACTTCATCCTTGGGGCCCCTGAGGGCAGGGGGTCTGCTGGGGCTGGGGCTTGTGATATCTGGAGTGAGTGCAGGGTCAGGTCAGAGGGGCCAGGCTGCCTGTCCAGAGAGGCAGATAATTCCCAAACAGAAGACTCCAAGGCAGAGGGCCCTGGGGCTGGATTCCTGGCCTCCAGGAGGCTGTTCTGAGCTTATGCTGAGGAGGATTGGAGGGTGGCCCTCCTTCCCCACGAGGACCAAGAGGGGGTGGGGGATGGTGGGAGGGCAATCTGGCCAGAAGAAGCTTCGGGGGTGACTCCCGCCCTCCCCAGTCCCACCATCTCAGCCCCGTGGCCTCCTCCTCCCTGGAGACAGCCAGGTGTGGCCCAGGATCCCGGGAAGTGCAGGGGAGAGGGTGGCGTCTTCACTTCTCAGGCGCCGGCCTGGCCCAGAGGGGACAGGAAGCCAGGACACCGGGGATTGTCTCTCGCAACCTCAGCCCAGCCCCAGTCCGGGAGGAAGTTCTGCCGGGCGCTCTCCGCCGGTGCCTCCCTGGTGATATTGTTGAACAGGAAACCGGGCAGGGCGAGAGCCGCGCGGTCTAGGAGGGAGCGCGGGACGGCGATCCCACGCGCGCCTGCCGGGACAAGTGGAGGCGACGCTGGTGAGCAGACGCCCCGAGGTGCCCGGGCAGGCTGGGTCGGGAGTGGGGCGCCGAGCGGGGGTTGGGGTGGGAGGTGGGGTGGGGGTGGGGAAAGGGGCCGGGTGGGGGAGGGAAGGGTGCGGCAGGTGGCGGGTCCGCACCCGGGAGCTCCGCGCGCCTGCTCCCCTTGTCTCCGCGCTGGGGCGGGAGCTGCGCGGGCCGCATCCCACGGGGAGGAGAAGGTAGGCGAAGGGCTGCCCTCTATCTGGGGGTGGGAAGGGAGCAGGCCCAGGCCCTCAGCGCCGACCCAGGCGTTGACGCCTCTGTAGCTTGCGTCGCCTGGGCAGTGGACGCAGGGTACCTGGCGACGGGTGCGTTCTCGCGATCCAGTGCTCCTCCAAGCTCCCCCAATCCTTCCCCTTCTTTGTGTTTCCCCAGGGTCGGGGAAGGAGCGAGGCCCGGTCCCCTTCTTATCTAGCCTAAGACGCTGCGCTCCGGTGGGCGTCCCTGCTCTGGGAATCCCGCTCAGAGTTTTTCCAGGCCCGGCCGGGCTGCGCCCGGAAAGGCCCTGGCGAGGGAGAAGGTGGGCCCGGAGCGGGCGGGTCTGCAATCCAGTTGGAAGGGCTCTCAGTAGGTGATTCAGGGTGCAAACTACCTCCCCGAGAACGGGAACGCCCGGACGAGTCAACCAGCCCAGCCCGGCATTCCCAGAGCCGCGCGCAGGAACAGGGACGCAGGGACAGCAAATCCCCTGGAGGGTTGGGGGGAGGCGGGGCAGGGGCGGCCCCACTCTCCATGGGTTCCGCTCGTGACCCGCCAGCGCCCCTTAAGTCGCAGCCCTCCTGGCCTTCCGCTCCGGGCCATGTCCCAATGACCCCCAAGGTCCCCAGCAGAGGCATTCAGGCTCCTCCTCCCCCCGCCCAGACACAGCTGCTTTGGGTATCGGTGACTGCACTCCTGAGCGTCCCTGTCGCTCTTCGCTCCCTTTGCCAGCTCCGGTTCCGCGCAGCATCTCCGGCTTCGCCCCTGGAAGCCCCGCCCACGGCGATGGTAGGGGCCTAACCTGCCGCCACCACCGGCTCCGCCCACCCAGCCCATGGGCTCCCTGAGGCCCACACAGCCGACGTGAGTGCGCTGCGGGGTCCAGGGGGAAAGGGCGCAGGAAAGGAGTGTCCTCCTTGGGGCTTGTTGGCCCACCTCTGGGCAGCTCGATGACCCCGCCTCCCGGGCCCGGTGTGCTTGGTGACTCAGTTTACACCCTTTCCTCGTCGAGGAACGCTTGAGAAAGTGGTGAAGGAGCCCGGTAGGGGCCCCCGTTGGACCCTGCTCCTTCGGTCCCTCAGCCTCGGCAAGCGGTGGTCTCCGGACCCCTGGCCCGGGCCACTTTAGGGGGAAGGAGGAGGTGTGGTCAGTGTGGGAGTTTGGCGGGCCCAGGCACCGACTCGTGGCTTTGGTGGAGGGGCGCAGGCCCATTTACTTAGGCCCTCCCCCATCCCTAACACACCGAAGCCGGGACGGGAGCGGGGCTTGTGACCACTCGGGAGAGCTTTGAGGGCCCCTGCTCTGGGACTCCGCACGGATAGTCACTGTCTCAGAGTGCATTCTCCAGGGGCCACTCTAGTGGGGACACTGTAGAGGTCACAGGGCAGGTGGGCAGGCCGCAAGGGCGGGGCCTTTTTCGGAGGCGGCCTGAGAGCTGGAGAGCAGAGGGCGGTGCGGGCCGGGCTGGGCGGGCCGGGCTCCGGCTCAAGTCTGCGGTGAAGCCGCTGGGGAAGGAAAGAGAAACCCAGAGAACCGGTTACCCCGCCTTGGCAGCGGAGGCCCCTACACCAAGACCCTTGGACTAAGCGGGGCAGGGACAGCCCCCAGATAGAGCTGCTGGCCCGGCCGCCTGCAGAGCCCGCATCCCAACCCTGACCTGGGGCCTGAGCGCAGGCTCCTGGAGGGAGGCGGTGCCACGGGACCCTTTGCGGATTCTCTGCGGGCGGGAGGCCTCCAGGCAGGACACGGCCGGGAAGCGGCAGGATGTCTTCTCACTTGACTGACGGGAAAACTAAGGCTTAGTCAACTATTAATAAGCAAGCGTGGTGTCGGCCTCAGGGAGGACAATCACCCCTCGTTTTAAAATCAAGGCTTCTCTCAGTCTAGTCTGTTTGGACCAAGACTAGCCACAATCTCCCACCGCAGTGCTGAAGCGAGGCTCAAATCTTATAATCAACCCCAAGGAACGAAGGGGTTGTCCTAATTCCAGCACTGAGTTTAAGAATGGAAGCCTTAAATGTGAGTGTAAGAATAGAAGCCTTAGATGTGATTTTATGCAAGTCCCCATTTTAGAGATGGGAAAACTGAGGCCCGAAGGCGAACGGCGAATGCAGGATCGGGACTCGAACCCAAGTCTATCCTCGAGTTCGGGGCTATTCCGGGCTCGGTGGTCTTGACCTCCGCGGCCCTCCTCCTTGTTGCCCACAGGAAAACGCCGGGGCCGCGATGGCGGCGGACGTGGAGGGGGACGTGTACGTGCTGGTGGAGCACCCCTTCGAGTACACCGGCAAGGACGGGCGCCGCGTGGCCATCCGGCCCAATGAGCGCTACCGGCTGCTGCGGCGCAGCACCGAGCACTGGTGGCACGTGCGGCGCGAGCCCGGTGGCCGCCCCTTCTACCTGCCCGCGCAGTACGTACGCGAGCTGCCCGCGCTGGGCAACCCTGCGGCCGCCCAGCCTCCAGGTCCCTACCCGGGCCCCGCGGCCCCCGAGCCGCTGGCCTACGACTACCGGTTCTTGAGCGCGGCGGGGGCCGCGGGCCCCGACGGCGCCCCCGCGGAGCCCCGAGGCCGCGTCAGCTCCCTGTGCGGCCCTGCGCAACGCGGCACTGCGACCCAGCGCAGCAGCCAGGCGCCGGGCCTGCCCGCCTGCCTGTACCTGCGGCCCGCAGCGCCCGTGCGGCCAGCGCAGTCCCTGGACGACCTGGCGCGCACAGCCGTCTCGCCTCCTGCCGGCCTCCTTGGAAGCAGCGGCAGCTTCAAGGCCTGCAGCGTGGCGGGCTCCTGGGTGTGCCCGCGGCCCCTGGCGCGCAGCGACTCAGAGAACATCTACGAGGCCATCCAGGACGTGCGCGGCCCGCCGAGGGAGGAGAGCGCGGAGCAGGTACGACCCGGGGCGCGGAGGCGGGGAGGCGAACTGGGGACCGCGCCCGCACGGAGCCTGGACGCCAGGAGACCCGCTCGGCTCAGAGTCGGGCACGACGCCCCCCTCAGTCCGAAGACTTCGGATGAGCTTCTCCCGCCAACAGCCAAACGGAAGCGGTGGAGGCCCCCAGTCCCTCATGTGCAATTCCCAGTCTCCAAAGCTCCCTGGATGCCCAAAGGTTTTGCGCTTAAACTGATATGAGGCTGTTGATGGTCTTTATTTATTGCGCTTGTGTGAATATTCATGTTTTGCTGCAGAAATGCAAATGAGCTCGATGGTCGGCTGCTGCCCCAAGCCCTGCTGGGAGGTTATGTAACCTACAGCAGGTGTGTGCCCAATATTATCTTTCCAAGTCCCAGCTGTCCCGTATTCAGAAGCGCATCTGGGCACGGAAGGGGGGTATCGCGGGCCTACAGCCTGCTCAACCGCCTCACCGGTCTCTCTGGGGTCAGATGAGAGGGTGGATGTGAAAGTCAGGCGTCTGCTTCTCTCTGAGGGTGCTTCCAGCATTTTAGTTCCTTTTTTAAAAGAACTCTTGATGGGTTTGTTTCAGAAAGAAGTCAGGTTATGGTGGGGTTGTTTCTTCCCCTCTTCAGAATCCAGTTGTGTTAATCTGGGAAATCGAAAATAGAGCACGTTTAAAAACACTCTTACATTCTCAGAACACTCTGGGCGACCCTGACATTTTGAACTTAGGAACTTTAAAGGGAGGGGCAGCCCGAGAGGGGAAAAAGGATGCACAGAACCGTTCTGCCATCTGCCACCGGTTGTGTGACGATCTAGGGCCGGTTCTCTTCCTCTGTCAGGGTCTCGGTTTGTTCTTTAGCCTAAAGGGAGGGAGTGGACAGATGACCTCTGAACCTTGGGAGCCCCTGATTTATTTTGCTATACTTGATGTCGTTACCACGAACATTGATGCCTACCACGTCCCAGGACTGAGTCCGGGATGCCCAGAGGAAGAAGGCACGTCCCCGTAGGCCCGCTGCTGGGTCTTCCATCCGCCCATCTCGTTACAATGCAGAGCTCAGGTTTTGAGGCTAGGGAAAGGCGAATTGGACTCTGCTGGGTCACCTGCCAGCTGCTGACAGCCACTTAACATACACGCGAGGACGCTCCCCCAGGCCCAGCGTCCTCGGGTGTAAGCACAAAACCTAAGGATTAGCCTTGTAAGCATTGTAAGCGTTGTAAACGAGGTAAGGCTTCGAAGCGCTTGGCAGCAGCAGGGGTCCACCCAGACGGTCTGGGTCGTCCTGGGTCGGCTTCCGTGGGTCTGCGCCGCCTTCACCCGGGCTCCTGCAGCGGCAGCCCGCCGCCTTGTGGTCAGGCTGGAGAACGGCACCCGGCGGGCGGGGCTGGGAACCGCGGCAGGTTCACGTCTTACGCTCCTGCCACCCGGTCAGGCAGCTTCTCTGGGATGGGTGGCTGGATGCCAGCGCTCTTCCTTCCCGGCGACCCTCCGTTTCCTGCGCAGGCTCTCGGTGGCGCACTTCCGGGCCTCTCCACATTCTCTGTCCTGGTGACGGTGGAAGGGTGCCTGCCCGTCTGAGCGGAGCCCCTGAGGGTGGGGGAATAGCCTTGCCCTTTGAACCTCGCATCTGGCCCAGGGTCTGGCTCAGAGTGCACAAACAGTGTGTGTTGGGGAGGGCAGAGGAGCGGCCTTTACCTATGAGCCCTTTACTTACGAGCCAGGGTTCTGTAGGCCTGCCCAGGGGCCACCACCCCAGGGCCCAGAACCAAAGAGGAAGGAGACTGCCCAGGTCCTGACTGCCCAGGTCATCTCCTAAGAAGACAGATGACCCCCGCTGCCAGGGCATCTGCCAGGTGGCCCATCTGCCCATCCTTCCTCCAGCTCCCAGCAGGTTCCCAGTTGCAGGGGCATATGGGGGGAGGGGCACAGATGATGGGCACCCATCGAGGAACTAGGACATTGGCCAGAGACAGGCTGCTCCCTAGCCTCGCCCGTGGCCCTAATTCACTGTGTTACCTCCACAAGTCACTTTGCATCTCCAGTCCTGTTTCTTTCCCTGTGCCATGGATGCAATAATACCACCTTCCCTGCCATGGTGCCTTATTCAAGAGGCAGCTGTGGGTCTCCCTGACGCTCCACCCCCAACCAAGTCCAGGGTAGGGAGTTGGTCCTGCCCCTGCCAAGGGAACCCCACCCCTGCTCTTAGTTCTCCCAACAGGCATTTTCCCAAGGTGATCCTCCAGGGCCGTTCACTGATTCGTTCAGCATGAACTAACTGAATACCTGCCAAGCCTTGGTGAGCCTCCGGATCTAGAGAAGACTGAGGCACAACCACGGTCCTGGGGGACTCGCCCCTCTTGGATAGGAAGCCAGCAAGAGAAGACCTGAGGCTGGGGCTCAGGAGTGGAGCGTGGGGTTGGGAGTGGGTGCCCACTTGGGCAGGGCCTCCTGGACCCTTGCAGGAATATGCACATTATCCTGCAGCCACTGTAAGGCTTTCAGTAGAGACAGGAGTGGGACTGAGAAAAAATCCCTATGGCCAGGGCTTCAAGAATGGCCAAAGCTCTTGGTGGTCTTGTGGGCACGTGGCAGCGACAGGAGGTTTGGGAGGTGGATGGGCAGGGTCAGGGGCTGAGGGAGCTGGAGGGAACTCAGGCTGGGTTCTAGATTCCCAGCTGGCACTTGTGGGCAGACCGTGGTGCTGCTTACTGAGGGGGCGACTTAGGGAGGATTGGAATGGTGAAAAGATGGGGCCCGCCTGGATTTAGATGCCAGGCAAAGGGAAGAGAAGCATGGGAGTGCTGGCTCAGAGCCCAAGAAGTGTCCAGAAGGATGCACGGGAAGTCGTGTGGGAGAGAGGCCATCTAACACTTGCCCGAGTGGCCGCCAGGGGCTCAGCTGGCCAGGGGATGCTGAAGGCAGCAGGCAATGCGTCAGGAGTGAAGCGAGGGTGCGAACTGAGAGTGTGGACAGTGGGCAGAAGGAGAGAGACACAGTGTGGCCAGAGTGGGTGTAGGGTCACAGATGGAAACGTCCCCAAGTTCAGGGGGGTGAGCAGGAGATGGAGAGGCTAAAGGTGGGGAGGGGCTTGGTGCTGAGAAGGGATCTCGGAAGAAAGGGGTGGTGGGTGCAGAACAGAGGGCAGGATGTGGGGATAGCAGTGGCATGGGGGGCCTGGGGAGCGTATGGGGATGCCTGTCTGTCAGGCAGAGGCTCAGGGCTTAGGGCAGGCTACTGGCAGGGCCAGGCAGCCACAGAACAGAGGAGCTCCTGCCACGGATGGTATTTTACAGCCTTGTCACCCCTGTGCACTCACCTTGCACATATTGAGGACTTGGTGTGTGCTGGTCACCATGGGGGACACTGGGGACAAAGTGTGGGAAGACACAGTCCCAAAGGGGCTAACAGTCCTGTGGGCTCCGGCTCAAAGGCCTGTACCCAGGATTAAGCTCCCAGCAGCCCAGAGGGCAGCCATAAGCACCTCCATTTGCCTTGAGTACAAACAGAAGTTCAGAGAGGTTTAGTGACAGGACGAATGTCACACAGCCAGGACAGTTCCAGGCCCCCTGACCCCCAGCCCCACCCTGGCCACCAGGTTCAGTTTCAGCCAGGTGGCCTTTAAGGTTGGCCATCCTGTTCCCCTTGGCAGGAACAGTCCAAGCCGAAGGCAGGCACGCGCTCCTTCTGAGCATCCTGTGTGTCCAGCCCTGTTGTGGGAAAGTTGATGATGTCCCAGGAGAGGGACGTCTCCTGTTCTCTTGCTGCCCAGGAGAGGGCAGAAGCAAACCCTTCTGAGAGGGGAGAGAGGGAGACTAGGGGAGGTAAGCAGGGATGACTCCTCCCCTCCCTCAAAGAGGCCACTCCGGGAGCCCTGGGAAGCCCGGCCAAAGGCGGTGCAATAAAGGGACCTCTTCCCCGTGGCTGTGGTCCTGACTCTGGAATTTCAGGGTGCGGTCACCAAACCCGCCCAGAGGTGGGAAGGCCCGGGCAGGTGGAGCCGGAGCCGCCCCTGCTGCTGGGGCACCGGCCGCTGGGAGGGAGGCTCCAGCCGAGCCACTGCACCTTCTTCTACAAGCAGCCCTGGAGGCCGCCCCTGAGCTGGCAGCCCCGACTGGACGGAGCCCAGGGCCCTCCTTCCTCCTCCTGCGCTGGGAATTGTGAGTGAGCCGCTGCCCCTGGGGGACAAGATGGTGGCCCCAGCAGTTTCCCCACTCTCTCCCCTCCCTTCCCCGAACACTAAAACCCACCTAGGGGCCCCTCCGCTCTGGATCCAGGCCCAGCAACCACTTCCTAGGACAGACTCTGAGGGCAGCCCGTGGCCGCTGTGGTTGAGAGAAGGGAACTGGCCTTGGGACAGACCCATCTGTCCTACCTCGGAGCCAGCCAGGGAGCTTTTGGCAATGGGCCTTGGTAACAGCGGGAAGCTGAGGCCAAGTTAAGGGGACTCCAGGTAGCCCCTTGCCTGTACTCCCTCCTCCAGTAATGCCCACCCCCACCCCCACTGGGGCGGCCGCCCTGGGGTGGCTCTGCTGGTTTCTTTGCACCTGACCCAGTTCCCTCCCAGTGAGTCACCTGCAGCCCCGGGCTGGCCCAGGAGCCCCTCTGCCTGCCTAGGCCTTAGGAGACAGCAGCTTCTTGGGTCCCCTCTCACCCTCATCCGACATTGCTGTCCACCCAGAGATCTCCCTGCCCCCACCCCATCCCCCGCAGGCCCCTTGGTCTCCAGGGTCTCCCTGGAGCCTGTGCCTGGTTCTCACCTCTTAGTCCCTGGCCCCCTTGAGCCCCCAGGAGCCTGAAATGGGCCCCAGGACAAGCCCACCTGCCCCCTCACTTCCTTCCCAAGCCCAGCAGTTGACTGCACTCTAGACCTATTTTTTTTTAATGTTAATTTTATTTCAATAGTTTTGGTGAGCAGGTGATGTTTGGTTACATGAATAAGTTCTTTAGTGGTGATTTCTGAGATTCCAGTGCACATGTCACCCGAGCGGTG